TGATCAGGATCTTTTTTTTTTTTTTTTTTTTTTTAAAAAAAAAAAAAAAAAAAAAAAAAAAAAAAAAAAAAACTTAACCCCTTTGGGACTTAATGCAGTGTGAAAAAAAAGACAAAGAAAGGAAAGAAAAAAATTAACTCCTTAATCATATTAAAATCATATTTTGAGGGTAATTTACGTAAGACAGAATTATCCCTTTAAAATGTAATATTCATTTTTCTTCTTTATCTGATAATCTTTCTCCCCTCCACAAACACACAGCCAAAGAAACAAATTGTGTCACTCTGGAATCAGAATAATTTTAAATTCTGTTATGATTAAACAGGAGGGGCGGGACCTGCGCGTCACATGACTCTCCTGGTGCTCTCTGCTGCCGTTGATTGGTCCGGGCTGGGGGAGGCGTGTGCATCACTCTAGAGGGCTCTCACTTTTTGTCTGACCAGAGAGTTGCGAAGCATCTGCAGTCCTAGAGGGGCCGCGCGCAGGGACGCTCTGCTCCGCTGCTGACCTAGAACCAGCGAGAGGCTCTGAATCCTCCAGTGTGCCCGCGCCAGTTGCTCGGGCAAGGGGTAGTTCGCCGAGGGTCGCGGACCAGACAGACCCCGGGTCGGGTCCGGGAACCCTGAGAGGAGAGCCCAGACCCACGGCCGCCCCTGGTGGAGGCGGGGCGTCGGAGATTCGGAGGCGTCAGCAGGTTTGGGGAGAAGGAAACGAGTGTTGTGAGGAGCGTGGGTGCGGCGGGGAGGCCACTGCGGAGACCCCCGGCTCTCAAGGGACGCTCCAGTGCCTGTGCGGAGGCTCTCGGGGCCCATGACACCGGCTTTTGAGTATTTTTGGCGGTGTCAGGTCTTCAGCAGCGAGAGGAGGAAAGTCCGAGGAATGAATGGCTGCAGAAGCCAGGGCTTGGTTTTATTAGAGTGGGAGATGAGCCGTGCTTGTCAGTGGAAGGTGTTCACGTGATTGTGAGGCGGCATTTTGGATTTTGTCACAAGTTAACAATCCCGTTCCAGTTAAAGTTTTGAGTTTATTGTGCAGCTGGCGATTGTTCCAATGGCAGCTTAGAAAGCATAATGAGGAAGTGCAGTGATCTTGACTGTAATTGGCCATTATCAACTTGCATTCCTTCTAGGGTAAGTCGAGCCGGATCAGCTTTGTATCTGTAGCTGATTGGTTCAGTTTATCATGCGGACGAGAAAAAAAAAGCTTCCTTCCTGTTCAGCGCTTACTTTTCAGGGAAATAAGGAATTGTTGTTTTAACACTAAGTGTCACTCCGTTGCCCAAGCTGGAGTGCGGTAGCACCATCTCAGCTCACTGTAACCTCCAACTGCCGTGTTCAAGCGATTCTCCTGCCTCAGCCTCCCGAGTAGCTGGGACTACAGGTATGTGCCTGACCATGCCTGGCTAATTTTTGTATTTTTAGTAGAGACGGGGTTTCACTATGTTGGCCAGGCTGGTCTTGAACTCCTGACCTCGTGATCTCCCTTTATCCCCTCACCCCCACCCCCTTCTTCCCCACCTCAGCCTCCCAATGTGTTGGGATTACAGGTGTGAGCCACCATGCCCGGCCTGTTGTTGTTTTGAGACGGAGTTTCGCTCTTGTTGCCCAGGCTGGAGTGCAATGGTGCAATCTTGGCTCACTGCAACCTCTGCCTCCCGGGTCCAAGGGATTCTCCTGCCTCAGCCTCCCAAGTAGGCTGTGATTACAGACACATGCCACTAAGTAATTTTTGCATTTTTAGTAGAGCCGGGGCTTCACCATATTAATCAGGCTGGTCTTCAACACCACCTTAGCCTCCCAGAATACTGGGATAATAGGGGTGAGCCACTGCGCCTGGCCTGTTGTTTTTAAGAGAGACAGGGTCTCGTTCTGTCACCCAGAGTGGAGTGCAGTGGTGCCATCATAGCTCACTGCAGCCTCCAAGTCCTGAACTGAAGGGAGAAATCATTGTATATTGTTTGCCTTACGTGGCTGTGGGTGGTTGGCCCAGGGCTGTACCCAAAACATGGCCTCCATTTGATTTTTCATTAGCAAGTCTGACATCCAAATGCACAGCCTTCACAAACAGATATTCAGTAAGTATAGTGCAGGGGTGTCCTATCTTTTGACTTCCCTGGGCCATATTGGAAGAATTGTCTTAGGCTACACATAAGATACACCCACTCTAAGACAGCTAATGAGCAAAAAATAAAAATAAAAAAAGGCAAAAAAAAATTTCATAATCTTTTTTCCTTTTTTTTTTTTTTTTTTTAAAATAAGAGACGGGGTCTCGCTATGCTAGAGTGCAGTGGCTATTCACAGGCGCGATCCCACTACTGATCAGCACGGGAGTTTTGACCTGCTCTGTTTCCAACCGGGGTCGGTTCACCCCTCCTTAGGCAACCTGGTGGGTTCCCCACTCCCCGGAGGTCACCATATTGATGCTGAACTTAGTGCGGACACCCGATCGGCAGAGCACACTGCAGCCCAGAACTCCTGGGCTCAAGCAATCCTCCCATGTCAGCCTCCCAAGTAGCTGAGACTACAGGCACACGCCACCGCGCCCGGCTCATAATGTTATTGTTTTGTTTTTGTTTTTTTTGAGATGGAGTTTCACTCTTGTTACCCAGGCTGGAGTACAATGGCACGATCTCGGCTCACCGCAACCTCCGCCTCCTGGGTTCAAGCAATTCTTCTGTCTCAGCCTCCTGAGTAGCTGGGACTATAGGCGCACGCCACCATGCCCAGTTAATTTTTGTATTTTTGTAGAGACGGGGTTTCACCAGGTTGACCAGGATGATCTCGATTTCTTGACCTCGTGAGCCACCCGCTTCGGCCCCACAAAGTGCTGAGATTATAGGCATCAGCCACTGCGCCCGGCCATAATGTTTTAAAAAAGTTTACAAATTTGCGTTGGGTTGGATTCAGTCGTCCTGGGCCACATAGGTTGGACAAGTTTGGTGTAGAGAATAAAAGGGATGAGGCTTCTGCCTGCCTTGGAACATTGATCAGGATCTTTTTTTTTTTTTTTTTTTTTTTTTTAAAGATGGGGTTTCACCATGTTGGTCAGGCTGGTCTTGAACTCCCAACCTCAGGCGATCTGCCCACCTTGGCCTCCAAAGTGCTTGGATTACAGGCGGGAGCCACTACGCACAGCCATGATCAGGATCTTTTTTGGCGTGTACCTCTTTGCTTAAAGAGGCAGAGGGTCCACCCTAGACAACAGCAAAACCCCATCTCCAAAAAAAAAAACTACAGCTGGACATGGTGGTGTGCTCTTGCAGTCCCAGCTACTTAAGAGACTGAGGCAGGAGCATTGCTTGAGCCCAGGAGTTTGAGGCTGTAGTGTGCCAGGATTACACCACTGCACTCCAGCCTGGATGACAGAGGGAGACCCCTCAAGAAAAAAAAAAGGCAAAGGGTCTTCTAAACTGTGTTCAAGGGGCTTCTATTAAAATGAAAGTGAATTTCATTAAAATTCGCACTTAATTAAAAAGCAAGTCTGTAGGCCAGGAGTGGTGGCTCATGCCTGTAATCCCAGCACTTTGGGAGGCTGAGGCAGGTGGATCACCTGAGGTCAGGAGTTCAGTACCAGCCTGGCCAACGTGGCGAAACCCTGTCTCTACTGAAAATACAAAAATTAGCTGGGCTTGGTAACACGCACCTGTAGTCCTAGCTACTTGAGGCTGAGACAGGAGAATCACTTGAACCCAGGTGGCAAATGCTGCAGTGAGCTGAGATCATACTATTGTACTCCAGCCTGGCGACAACAGCGAAACTCTGTCTCAAAAAAAGGGGCTGGGCATGGTGGCTCACACTTCTAATCCCAGCACTTTGAAGGCTGAGGTGGGGGGATCAGGAGGTCAGGAGATTGAGACCATCCTGGCTAACAGAGTGAAACCCCATCTCTACGAAAAATACAAAAAAATCTGGGCATGGTGGCACACCCCCGTAGTCCCAGATACTCAGGAGGTTAAGGCAGGAGAATTGCTTGAACCTGGGAGGCAGAGGTTGCAGTGAGCCAAGGTCATGCCATTGCACTCCAGACTGGGCAACAGAGCAAGACTCCATCTCAAAAAATAAAAGCAAGGTAGTCTGTAGTTGTTACTTTTGCTGAATCCTGTTAGCAAATCACCAGGCAGCCTAGAGGTGGGGGTTGAGGGACCCCTATAAAAAAAAAAAAAAAAGACTTTCAGAGTGGGCTTGTCAGTAAGTGGAGCTGGCCTTAGGAGCAGAGTTGGAAATACATAAGTAGATTTAGAGAAAAGCCGGTTAGCTAGAATTCCTAGGTTTACTAGACTTAGGACATCCTGTGTGATAGGGGAGGGGACAGCACCTGAAGTGGGGGGGTAAAGTGAGATCACGAGGTCAGGAGTTCAAGACCAGCCGGGCCAACATAGTGAAACCCTGTCTCTACTTAAAATACAAAAATTAGCCAGGCATGGTCAGGCACGTACCTGTAGTCTTGGCTTTCTCCTGTTTGTACTAAATTAAAGGGAGTGGGGAGCAAAATTTTTGATAAAGCTATTAGATATTGATCAAGTCCTGATTTGGGACCCGTGGCTGTAGAGGCTGTGGTTTGGCTTTCGGAGCTGGTTGCTGCAGGGAGTGGATCAGAGTGGTATTTTTTTTTTCTCTTTTTGAGACAGAGTCTCGCTCTGTTGCCAAGGCTGGAGTGCATTGGTGTGATCTTGGCTCACTGCAATCTCTGCCTCCCGGGTTCAAGCGATTCTCCTGCCTCAGCCTCCTGAGTAGCTGGGATTACAGGCATGTACCACCATGCCCAGCCAAATTTTTGTATTTTTAGTAGAGAAGGGGTTTCACCGTATTAGCCACGATGGTCTCTATTTCTTGACCTTGTGTGATCCACGCACCTCGGCCTCCCAAAGTCCTGGGATTACTGGCGTAAGCCACCGTGCCCAGCCCCAGAGTGCTATTTTTATATGTGATCTACCTGCTGTCCCTTTGTACATGAGGTGCTGAAGATGACATGTTCTAGGGAGAAGGGGATGGCAGGGCTGCTGGTTCCCTTGAATAGAGCTTGGGAAATTGATCTAGACTCAGAAATTCCTGTATTTATTGTAGTGGCTCATGCATTTCATCATATGTTCCAACACCAAACACAGTGTCTTTGTATGAAGTTTTGTCTGTGGGCCCCATTAGAATCCCTGGTTCTAGATCTGCCAAGCAGGAGAGCTTCAAATTAGGGCTGGCCTTACTGACTGTCTTTTTTTTCTTCTCCAGCTCAGCCTGACGCCTAGGATCCCATCCCTTGTCAAAGACCGGGCCGTGGAAGCCATGTTCCCACCAGTCAGTGGGAAGGTGAGCTGTGGCTCCCCATCTGCTTCCTCAGCATAGTCACTGCTGCCAGCAGGTCCTTCCTCAGGCTGAGCCCTGTTGATCAATGTGGGGAGTTTTCCTTCTTAGAAAGGACGATGTAGAGAGCTTAGCCTCTGGAGTCAACATGGGCTCCCTTCAGTAAGTTACATAAACACTCTGGCTCCAGTTTCCTTTGCTATAAAATGGGTCAATGAGAGGGACTATCACAGTGAGTTGTGAGGACTCAGTGAAAAATGCCCTGTGAAGTCCTTTGCACAATATCTGGTTACAGTTTAGCAGCAGGTTAAGTTGTCACTGTTAGTCCTGTGGTAGTTGCCCATTGTTTCTTCCATGAGCATTATCGTGCACCCACTGCTGTACACACTCGAGGTGCTGTCTTCTGTGCTGGGAGATCAACTCTTAATCTGATTAGTGAGACAGATGTGTAATGAACTTCTCATAATAAATTCTGAACCGTTCCTATGAAAGGGTATAATGGAAGGTTATTTATTGAATTTGTAGCATTATGGAGGGCAATCAGAGGATACTGAATTGTCTGTCTTTTTTTTGAGACAGAGTCTTACTCTGTCACCCAGGCTGGAATGCAGTGGCATGATTGTGGCTCATGGCAGCCTTGACCTCCCCAGGCTCAGGTGATCCTCCCACCTCAGCCTCCCAAGTAGCTGGGACCACAGGTACATGCCACCATGCCTGGTGAATTTTTGTATTTTTTGTAAAGACAAGATTTCACCATGTTACCTAGGCTGTTCTTGAACTCCTGGCTCAAGCCATCTACCAGCCTCAGCCTCCCAAAGTCTTAGGATTATAGGCGTGAGCTATCCCACCTGGCCTAGTTGGGATTACAGATATGAGCCATCTCACCAGGCCTAGAAGAGACTTGAGTTTGAAAGAAGAGAGAGGCTCCAGGCACAGTGGCTCATGCCTGTAATCCTAGCACTTTGGGAGGCCAAGGCAGGCAGATTACCTGATGTCAGGAGTTTGAGACCAGCCTGGCCAACATATGGTGAATCTCCATCTCTAGTAAAAATACCAAAATTAGCTGAGTGTAGTGGTGCACGCCTGTAGTCCCAGCTACTTGGGAAACTGAGGCAGGAGAATCGCTTGAACCCAGGAGGTGGAGATTGCAGTGAGCCGAGATCGGGCCATTACACTGCAGCCTGGGCAACAAGAGCGAAAAACTCTGTCTCAAAAACAAACAAACAAATGGAACTTTTAAGCAACATTTGGGGCCCAACTATCAATGTACAAGTCCTAGCTGTTGATGGCTTCTTGAAAACTGCAACTTTAAGGGAAACCGTATATATCAAAACCATTTTTTTTTCCATCACTGTTACAGTGAAACAAAGTTATTCAAGGACTTGCTGCTGTACCTACTTTTGCTAAAAATCAGTTTCCAAGAACCTACTGCGGATGTTAAGAGAGGAGTTACCGTGCATCAGTGAATCTGGGAGATGAAGCCGTTTTATTCCCATGTTTGTTAACCTCGTACAGGTGCAGGAATGCAGGTGGCTGAGTAGGTCAGATTGAGGACATTGCAGCGCAGCTCTGCTAAAAGAGTGACATTCTGGATGATGGTGAGAAAGGGCCTGCAACTGTAGCAGTTGAACTCAGGCTTGATAGGCAGGAAAGAAAGTCCATATTTGGGAGATTCTGGTGTCTGTCTGCAGAGGGGAGCTATACGAAGCTTCTCAGGATGGGGGTGGGCATTTCCTATTACTGACCACTTATAGGACAGTGAAAGCTTGCCTTGTACATGTCCCCTCTGAACCCTACAGTGTCTTGTGAGAGGAGGGAGTGTGTAGACGGCCCCTGGGTCCCTCTGCTCCGTAGCCTGCAGTGGTGTGGGAGTGAGTATGTGGCAGCTTCAGTGCTCAGCCCATGGTAGGAGAACAGTCACTTGCAGATGTAAAGTCCCCCTGTGCTCACTGTGCTGTGTCCTTTGTTGTCCCCTCTGGATATGCTCCCCAGGTGTCTGGGGTTTGGTCTGTACCTTTTATATTCTCCAGCAACGGGCTCCCTTGCTTTGGCACATCTGAAGAGGCTGGAGGGCTCCGGAGGCCTGGGGGAAATTGAGGCTGGGTTTCTCTTCCCATGGCTCCCTCCCTGCCGTTCTGTGGGATGGGTGTGGCTCCATCCTCTTTGGCCCAGCTCCAGTCTTGCTGCCTTTCCAGAGCATTCTGGGCTCCAGCGGCCCTCCCCACCTTATTCCTTAGACCTAGCAGGTCCTGGTTCCCTAGGGTGGCCAGCACCTATGAGCTTCCACATTCCTTGTTCATGTTTGTTGAGCCTATTCATCCCTTTGTAAATAGTCTGCACATTAACCAACCCCCAGTGACCTCATCTCTTTCCTAAGGAACCTGGGGCAGAAGCAATACGTTATTTGTATAGAGCAGGGATCAGCAAACTGCCCTGGACAGCTTGGTAAAGTTTCCCTGAAACACAACTGTGCCCATTCGCTTACTTGTAGTCCACGGCTGCTTTTGTGCTCCAACACAAAAGCTGTTCCTCAGATTGTTGACTAGCTGTTCCTCAAATTGACAGCAGGTTTGAGGAACTGGAACAGAGACCAGGGGCCTGAAAAGCCTAAATTACTTACCATTTGGCCCTTTAGAGATTATGTCTGTCAACCCCATGGTATGGAAGCCAGCATGTCTGGCCTGAGGGCCAGAAGGCCTGAACGGAACCCTGAATCTATTCCTTATGAATTGGGTGGCCTTGGCCCGCACACTTTACCTCCCCAAACCTCAGTTTCCTCACCTGTAGAATAATCATCGTGCACAAGTTATTGTAAGAATTGCAGTTACCTTTATCAGCTGCTTTTCCAGGAGCTGCTGTCATTTGAGGATGTGGCGATGTACTTCACCAGAGAGGAGTGGGGCCACCTCGACTGGGGTCAGAAGGACCTCTACCGAGATGTGATGCTGGAGAACTACAGGAACATGGTCTTGCTGGGTAGGACATGGCTTAAAGACTGGGCTTTGTCTGTGTTCTGAGTGTCTGTGCAAGCCCTCAGGCCCTTATCTGTAATTCCAGAATCAGAAAAAGTGCTGAAAACAAAGTTTTTTCATAACTCATGTGGCTACAAGCCCTGACTGGACATCACCACAGTGAAACCTGACTTCATCCCATAGGAAACCATTTATTGTCTTTATTTTTCCAGTTTGGTGTGCATATCTATATGCCCAACTTCAGAAATAACAGTGTAAGCTGGGCATGGTGGCTCATGCCTGTAATCCCAGCACTTTGGGAGACCAAGGTGGGCGGATCACATTAGGTCAGTAGTTTGAAATTAGCCTGGCCAATATGGTGAAACCCATCTCTACTAAAGATATGAAAATTAGTCAGGTGTGGTGGCGCACGCTTGTAGTCCCAGTTACTTGGGAGGCTGAGACAGGAGAATTACTTGAACCTGGGAGGCTGAGGTTGCAGTGAGCCGAGATCACACCACTGCACTCCAACCTGGATGACAGAGTGTGACTCTGTCTCAAAACAAAGCAACAACAACAATAACAGTGTATTTGAAGGCACCACTTCAAACTCTACTGGGGATGATACGTTATGTAAAATACTTACACAAGGTCACCTTTCTGAAATTGGAAAAATTCTGACTCCTGAAACACATCTGGTGCCAAGAGTTTCACATGAGGGATCAGAGACAATGAATAGTTGTGTTTTTTGTGTTAGGGCTCAGACAGAGACACTTAATGCATTCTTCACTCTCACCCCATGTTTCACATCTGTAAGACCTCCAGGAGTTGAGAAGATTATTGTGGATTTACAGTCCAAAGGCTCACTTCTTATGCTCCTGAAAGTCTTTTTCCTTCTTTTCTCTGGAAATAGGTAACTTCTTGGTTTGTAACATTAGTGGGTGCTCAGGAACTGATTTTAAACCAACTTCATATCTGAACCTTCATGGCTTCCATCTTTTCAGGAGCCTACCGCCTCCTATTCCACTGTAGTATCCCACTGTGGGAGTTGCCTTGGTAAATAGTTTTCTTTCTGGGGCCACATGTTTGGCCCCTGCACTGACACTCTTAGCACAGGGTCTTGACTACCTCTTGTGGGATCATCTACCCACCTCTGGATTTTTATAATTTTAATTTTCCCTTTTTTAAAAAAGCATTACAAGAGCATACATCAGTACATGGAAGGTATAGAAAGGGAGGAAGAGAAGATGAATGTGTTCAGGAGTAACACCTTTAGTATTTTGGAAGATTTCCTTCCAGTCTTTTTTTCCTATGCCTTTACAAAAGTAATTGAGCATATTCTATGTGTAATCCTATAATCTGTTTTAAACTTAACATTATTGTATCAGCATTTCCCCACAGAAACAGTAAACAAGCATAATTCCACTGTGATCCATAATAATATTTCATTGTTTTCTCATTTGGGACATTCAGCTTGGCTTTGTTTTTGTTTGTTGGTTTGCTTGTGTATTTATAATGTTTGAATAGATGTTTCTGAGTATAAATCTTCATATGAATTTTTGGTCATTTCAAAAAGACTTTGCCCAAATCAGAATTTGGAAGTTAAAGGAGATGGCACTTTATTCTTTATTGATTACTGAATAATTCTTCAACAAAATTTGTACTGTTTTGCATATCCAATAGTAACATTTGAGAATGCTTCTTTTTCTTTTTTTTTTAGAGGTGGCGTTTCGCTCTTGTTGCCCAGGCTGGAGTGCAATGGGGCCATCTCGGCTCACTACAAACTCCGCCTCCCGGATTCAAACAATTCTCCCATGTCAGCCTCCTGAATAGCTGGGAGTACAGGCATGCGCCACCATGCCCAGCTAATTTTTTTGTATTTTTAGCAGAGACAGGGTTTCTCCATGTTAGTCAGGCTGGTCTCGAACTCCCGACCTCAGGTGATCTGCCCGCCTCAGCCTCCCAAAGTGCTGAGTTTACAGGGGTGAGCCACCGTGCCTAGCCGAGTTTCATTCTTGTTGCCCTGGCTGGAGTGCAGTGGTGCCATCTTGGCTCACCACAACCTCCACCTCCTGGGTTCAAGTGATTCTCCTGCCTCAGCCTCCCAAGTAGCTGGGATTACAGGCACTCACCACCACACCCGGCTAATTTTGTATTTTTAGTACAGACAGTGTTTCTCCATGTTGGTTAGGCTGGTCTTGAACGCCTGACCTCAGGTGATCCACCCAACTCGGCCTCCCAAAGTGCTGGGATTACAGGCATGAGCCACCACGCCTGGCCGAGAGTGCTTCTATACTATATCATTGCACTTTTTTATGCATTTTACTAGTTTTAAAAATAATTTTCATTATAGAAATTCTGGAAAAATACATCAGTAAATAGAGTAGATAATAAAAATCACCTGCAGGCCCATTTTCCATAAATAACTCCTGTTAACATTTTGGTTTACTTTTTCCCAGTCTGTCTGTGTGTCTATTACAGGACAAGGATCCCTTATCCAAAATGCCTGGGACCAAAAGTGTTTTGGATTTTGGATTTTTTTTCTGGATTTTAGAATAGTTGTATTTGTGTAATAAGATAATTTGAGGGTCTGACCCAAGTCTAAACAAGAAATTCACTTACGTTTCATATACACCTTAGACACATAGCTTGAAGGTCCTTTTATTTTTCCCTGGGGAAGGCTGAGTTAACTGTGTGTTGTGCACCTGTGTTTTGATTGCAACCGGTCACATGAGGTCAAGTGTGGAATGCTCCGCTTGTGTCAGGTTAGCGCTCAAAAATATTCGGATATTGGATTAGGGATGCTCAAACTCTATTAATTACTTACACACACATACATAACGCACACACATACATAGCTTTTTTTTTTTTTTTTTTTTAGTCGGAGTTTCGCTCTTTTTTCCTAGCCTGCAGTGCAATGGCGCAATCTTGGCTCACCGCAACCTCCGCCTCCTGGGTTCAGGCAATTCTCCTGCCTCAGCCTCCTGAGTAGCTGGGATTACAGGCANGCGCCACCATGCCCAGCTAATTTTTTGTAGTTTTAGTAGAGACGGGATTTCACCATGTTGACCAGGATGGTCTCGATCTCTTGACCTCGTGATCCACCCGCCTCGGCCTCCCAAAGTGCTGGGATTACAGGCTTGAGCCACCGCGCCCGGCCAGCTTTTTAAAACAAAATTTGGATCATGCTATACATGAGTTTTGTATTCTGCGTTAAAATATATAGGCAGTATTTTTCTATTTTAATACATAGTGGGCTGTGCACAGTGGCTCATGCCTGTGATCCCAGCACTTTGAGGGGCCAAGGTGGGTTGATCGCCTGAGGTCAGGAGTTTGAGACCAGCCTGGCCAGCATGGTGAAACCCTATCTCTACTAAAAATAGAAAAATTAGCCAGGTGGGGTGATGGACGCCTGTAATCCCAGCTCCTTGGGAGGTTGAGGCTAGAGAACTGCTTGAACCCCAGAGGCAGAGGCTGCGGTGAGCGAAGATTGTGCCACTGCACTCCAGCCTGGGTGACAGAGTGAGACTCTGTCTCAAAAAGAAAACCAAAAAACACCAAAAAAAAACAAATAGTTGGCCAGGTACAGTGGCTCACACCTGTATACAGTCCCACCACTTTGGGAGCCTGAGGCAGGTGGATCACCTGAGGTCAGAGTTCAAGACCAGCCTGGCCAACATGGTAAAACCCTATCTCTACTAAAAATACAAAAATCAGCTGGGTGTGGTGGCATGCGCCTGTAGTTCCAGCTACTTGGGAGGCTGAGGCAGGAGAATTGCATGAACCTGGGAGGTGGAGGTTGCAGTGAGCAAAGATTGTCACTCCAGCCTGGGTGACAGAGCAAGACTCCATCGCAAAAGTAAATAAATAAATAATTGAATACAAGGATTTTTAATATCTGCCTGATACTTTTGCCTTCATCACAATAATGTGCTACAGTTAAGTGTTTCCTGTTGATATTCAGTTTATTTCCAGTTTGACACTGCAGTACCACTGTGCTGAACGTCTCTGGCACATTCATCTTGGTTGCAATTGTACTTTAGGCTGTATTTCTAAGAGTGAAATGACCACAGCCAAAGGTATGAACATTGTTCAGGCTTTCAATAAAGACTGCCAGATATTTACAAAGATTGTGCCAATCTCTATTGTCACCAGCCCTTTTGATTATTGTCCTTATCTCTGTTTGCCACTGAGCCCCAGGTCATGTCTCTGTAACTCACTAACGGCCACATCCCATTTACTTCCCCATGAGTAGGATTTCAGTTCCCCAAACCTGAGGTGATCTGTCAGCTGGAGAACTGGGACGAGCAGTGGATCCTGGATCTACCGAGAGCTGGGAATAGGAAGGCTTCCGGTAGTGCTTGCCCAGGTGGGTGAGGAAGAGACCCAGGCGAGTGGCATCAGGAAGAGGAAGAGAAGTCACGTTAGTCAAGCCCCTTCTGGGTGCCAGATGCTGAGCCAGGTGCTGGGCATATATTATCCTACTTCTTCATCCCTCCTGCCCTGTGAAGTGGGAGGAAATCAGTGTCCCCATTTCCCAGATGAAGAAACTAAAAGATTAAGAAATCTCACACATGCCTGGTATGGCGGCTCATGCCAGCAATCCCAGCACTTTGGGAGGCAGAGGTAGGTGCATCACTTGAGCCCAGGAATTCAGGATCAGCCTGGGTGACATGGTGAAACCCCGTCTCTACAAAAAATACAAATTTAAGCTGGGCGTGGTGGCGCATGCCTGTAGTCCCAGCTACTCTGGAGGCTGAGGTGCAAGGACTGCTTGAGCCTGGGAGGCAGAGGTTGCAGTGAGCTGAGAGTACATGACTACTCCAGCCTGAGTGACAGCAAGACTCTCAAAAAAAAAAAAAATCTCATACAGTTGGGAGGTGGACAGTGGGCTTTGATTTCAAGTCTGGAACGCTCATTCTCTCCTGCAGGAAAAAGTGCTTTGATACAGCTGCTCTAGTGTTTTCTGAAGTGACAACTCTCAGGGCACTCTAGAGGCCCCTTGATTCTACCCTCATTACTTGTCCTTTCTCTGTGCTGCCTATTGTTCCCTTGCTTTGTTTTGTTTTCATATTTCTTGACATATCTGCATTTTTCTACTTACTGTGTCCTGATGCAGCTGCTACTGTTTTTCACATCCAAGGTTTCTCTCCTTGGTACTACTGATATTTTGTGCTGATGAATTATTTGGGGGCGGGATGGGGTATATCCTGTGCATTCTAGGATGTTGAGTAGCACCCCTGGCCTGCATCCTCTAGACGCCAGTTGAACCTCCCCAGGTGTGACAGCTAGAAATGTCTCCATTGTCCCAACCCTGTTCACCCCTACTGGAGACTCACTGCTCTAGTCAGTTGGCTTTTGTCCCTACTTCCCTCTGGCTCCTTTTCTGTTCTGTCCTACGCTTTCTCCATTTTTAAGTGGATGCTTCACCTAGAGTTATTAAAAACATGTATCTAGGCCGGGTATGGTGGCTCATGCCTGTAATCCCAGCACTTTTGGGAGGCTGAGACAGGCGGATTGCTTGAGACGGGGAGTTTAAGATCAGCCTGGCCAACATGGTGAAACCCCATCCCTACTAAAAACACAAAAACTAGTGCTCGCTTCAGCAGCACATGTACTAAAACAACGATACAGAGAAGATTAGCATGGCCCCTGTGCAAGGATGACATGCAAATTCGTGAAGTATTCCGTATTAAAAAAAAAAAATTAAAAAATAAATACAAAAACTAGCCAGGCGTGGTGGTACACACCCGTAGTCCCAGCTACTCGGGAGGCTGAGGTACGAGAATCTCTTGAACCTAGGAGGTGGAGATTGCAGTGAGCTGAGATCATGCCACTGCATGCCAGCCTCAGCATGTCTCAAAAAGTGTGTCTTGAAGCATAACATGCTACCTCTCTGACTTTTATTTGGCCCTACTACCTAGAATAAGTTGTTTTTCTAATAACAGTGATGGGCTCTGCTGTCACGTTCTCTGGCACACACATTTCTGTGCACTTTTAGTGAGTTTGTTGGTGCTGAGACCTCTTTTTGTTATGAGAGTGAAGAGTCCAGTGAAATTCAGAATTTCAGGCTGGGTATGGTGACTCACACCTGTAATCCCAGCACTTTGGGAGGCTGAAGAGGGTGGATCACCTGAGGTCAGGAGTTCAAGACCAGCCTGGCCAACATGGTGAAACCCTGTCTCTACTAAAAATACAGTAATTAGCTGGGCGTGGTGGCAGGCGCCTGTAATCCCAGCTACTCGGGAGGCTGAAGCAGGGGAATCGCTTGAACCCAGGAGGCGGAAGTTGCAGTGGCCTGAGATTCTGCCACTGCCCTCCAGCCTGGGTGACAGAGCCAGACTCCATCTCCAAAAAAAAAAAAAAAATTCAGAATTTTGGCTTCTTCAGTCCGACGATGCAAACAAGAGATCACTTCTTAGCTTCATTTGATTGTCCTAGACCCCTAACCATTGGCTTCTCTTCCTTTTTTGCTTCTGTGGTGGATAGGTCATTTACATCTTTTCTTATTTGTCTAGGTTCTGAAGCCAGACACAAGATGAAAAAGCTAACTCCAAGACAGAAATTTTCTGAAGATTTAGAGTCATATAAGATATCAGTGGTAATGCAGGAATCAGCCAAGAAACTTTCAGAAAAGTTACATAAGTGTAAAGAATTTGTGGACAATTGCAGGCTGAGTTTCCCTACTAGTGGCGATGAATACAGCAGGGGCTTCCTTCAAAACCTTAACCTTATTCAAGATCAGAATATGCAAACAAGGTGGAAGCAGGGCAGCTATGATGAGGATGGGAAACCCTTCAATCAAAGATCTTTGCTTTTGGGGCACAAGCAAATTCTCACAAGAGCAAAGTCTTACGAATGCAGTGAATGTGGAAAAGTCATTAGGCGTAAGGCGTGGTTTGATCAACATCAAAGAATTCACTTTTTAGAGAACCCGTTTGAGTGTAAGGTATGTGGACAAGCCTTCAGACAGCGGTCAGCTCTTACAGTCCATAAACAGTGTCACTTGCAAAACAAGCCATATAGATGTCATGACTGTGGAAAGTGTTTTCGGCAGCTCGCGTATCTTGTTGAACATAAGAGGATTCATACCAAAGAAAAACCCTACAAATGTAATGAATGTGAAAAAACATTTAGTCAGAATTCAACCCTTCTTCGACATCAGGTGATCCACAGTGGAGAAAAACCCCATAAATGCCTTGAGTGTGGAAAAGCCTTTGGCCGGCATTCAACCCTTCTATGTCATCAACAGATTCACAGCAAACCGAACACCCATAAATGCAGTGAATGTGGACAGTCCTTTGGTCGGAATGTGGATCTCATTCAGCATCAAAGAATCCATACAAAGGAGGAATTCTTTCAATGTGGAGAATGTGGGAAAACGTTTAGTTTTAAGAGGAACCTTTTTCGACATCAGGTCATTCACACTGGAAACCGACCCTACCCATGTGTTATATGTGGAAAATCTTTCAAGTGGCACACAAGCTTTATTAAGCACCAGAGCACTCACAAAGGACACATATCCATGTGATATTAACTGGAAAGCAGTCATTGAAGGACTAGGACTTAACCTCTACTTCAAGTGTGTGTCACTTGATTTTTTTCATGAAAAGCAATAAATGTAACTAAAAGGGTTTTTCTATGGAGGCCTTATTTTTATAGCCAATCTTCTGCTGTAGTGAAGAAATGCTTAAAAGGAAATTTTAGCCTGGGCAGGATAGTGAGATCTCATCTCTACAAAAAATTAAAAAGCCAGGTGTGGTGGCTCACACCTCCAGTCCCAGCTAGTCATAAGGTGGAGGTGGGAGGATTGCTTTAGCCCAGGAGTTCAGGGTTGCAGTGAGCCATGATGTGTTGTCACCACTCCAGCTCCAGTGACAGAGTGAAGCTGTCTCAAAAGAGAAAAGGTTGGTAGGCTGTTGTGTCCACTCTCTTGCACGCTGTGTACCCTCATTCCCTCCAGTCTAGTTAAGGCAGAAGGGAGCCATAGAAGCTTTGCTCTGTGGTTACTAGGCTGGGGACCATTGCATGGGTTGTAAGTGAATGAAGGATTGAAGAATGGGCCAGGTGTGGTGGCTCACGCCTGTAATCCCAGGAGGCTGGCGGATCACTTGAGGTCAGGAATTCAAGGCCGGCCTGCCCAACATGGTGAGACCTCATCTCAACTAAAAATACAAAAATTAGCCATGCTGGCGTGCCTGCAGTTCCAGCTATTTGGGAGGCTGAGACAGGAGAATCGCTTCAACCTGGGAGGCAGAGGTTGCAGTGAGCCAAGAAAGCACCATTGCACTCCAGCCTGGGCAACAGAATGAGACTGTGTCTCAAAAAAAAAAAAAATTGAAGAATGCCTTTCCTGTATTACATACAACTATGACCTGCTAATGTATAGACTTAACAAAAACTAAGGGCTACTCATCAGTAACTAGTGAGGTGTGAAGAACAGCTCAAAGCTGCCTATTATCTAAAATGAATGTGTTAGTAGATTCTGGTAGACTTTTAAGTCAGCATTTGTAGTAGGTGCTATAGGCCCTTCTGAAGTCCCTCTGGCCTTACGCCTTCTATGGGCTTCATCTGACTCAGTGTTTACACCTCGTGGCCTTCAGGCTAATAAGACATCCTGGGAGCAGCCATCAACCAATCACTGATGAGAATTGGATAAACACCAAATTCTCCATCTCCCCATGTGTGGAAACTCAAGCATGTTTTAACAGTTTCCAGAGGTTCCCCATGAATTGCACACAGGCATTCACCCCAGTAGGTGTCTCATTGGGTTACTTCCCTTCTCTGTCTTTTCTACCTTCCCTGACTTTTGCAATCTCTCCCAGACAAATAAACTACTTGTATTCAAAAAATGTCCATGATGGTCTCTGAGACCAATTATGGTCTCTTCTCTTTCCACAGTTATTCTAAGCACATTCTGACATTCAGTTTAAGTTGAGCTGAGTGTATTCTCCCTAAACTCAATAATATAAGAAATCCATTTCAAATTATTTTGATATCCTAAACATAATCCTATGTCTGTATTAAAAAGTGCTCTAATTTGCCAGGCATGGTGGCAGGCACCTGTAATTCCAGCTACAGCTCCTGAGACAGGAGAATCACTTGAACCTGGGAGGTGGTGGTTTCAGTGAGCTGAGATCATGCCACTGCAGTCCAGCCTGGGTGACAGAGTAAGACTCTGTGTCAAAAA